TCACCTCCTACCCCAATCCCCTCCTTCCTGACCCGAACCTTGTATTCCCTCTTCCTTCCCAGCCTCCATTGTGCTTTTGTGTCACAAGTGTCCTTAGATCTAGGAAGTAAAGTAGTAATTGAGGTGATTCAAACTCAGAAAGACAAAAGCTTGCTTTTTTTCCCCACATGAAAATCCCACCTGCATACATATACAAGGCTGTAAATATAGGTGATGGCTTTTCACATTGAATCTATTAATTAAAATATGTACAGCTTTCATATCAATGTTCCTGTCATAATCTTTTACATGAAAGAACTACACATGACTGACTGCTTCTAATCTGTCACTCATGCTACTTTTCTTTCCAGCAAGTGATGGGGGGTTAAGGAGATGGGAGACTTTACAGGCAATAGGGCTCCAGTTAAATCTTTAATCAAGTAACTGAGATTGAATATTTACATGCACACACACACACACACACACACACACACACACACACACACACACACACGAAGAGGAAACCAGCAGATCCCTGTTTTCCTCTCTCCAGTGCCCATCCACTATCCTACAAATTCTGCCATTTCTCAACTGAATATTTCAGCCTTATAGAAAATCAGTTCCCTGAGAAAATAGCTAATTTTATCATGATAAACTTGCCTATCATTTTGTAATATAGATTTCCACTTTGTCCCAGTAATCCTGAAGCTCCAGGGATATAAGACACATTAGTGTTATCACTGATTTCACATTGACCTTCCTTAGGAATCTTTAACAACGTGAGATCATTTGTATCTGCTCAGAATGTGCTTTTAGTTTTTAATTTAAACTGAGTGAAATTACCTGCTATTTATCTCAGAGTACTCTTAGAACTAGCCTGAGATTTACATTTACAAACACATACATTTTCTCATAGAAGAGTGTGCTCTCTCTCTCCCTCCTCTTTCTTTTTCCTCAGTCTGCTTCTATTTTTTTCTTTTGTCTGTTTTCACCACTCCCTTTCTTTCTTTATCAGTTTGGGTCTCATTTTACTCCTCTTTTCTTTTTCTTCTCTACGGTGCATCTATCAGACTACTCACTCCCTGTGACAGTGACTAAAACTGGGATTTGGAGAGCATCTCAGGTTAGTTTTCTGGTTTGTGTCCCTGTCAAAAACTTGAACAGAGATTCACAGTTAACATACAGTGGGACAGTCTATTAAGAATAGACAGTCTTTCAAGGGGGAGCAGGCCAGGGCAGAGAGAATCTTGAACATCTCGAGGGCCTGGCTGTATCAAGAGTTAGGGCTTTTATGTGACTTCAGCAATAGTTTTCTTATATCATTGTTTTAGCATAGGCCTTCTCACTCATAATTTTTTACTCTTAGTTCTACATACAAAATTGTGGGTCATACGCTCCGTCAGTATCCTATTATATTTTAATTAATTTCTTTAGTGTGTTGGGATAGGTGCATGTACATGCACCACAGCAAACATGGGGAAGTCAGAGAACAACTTCCAGGAAATGGTTCCTTCCAGCATGTGAGATCAAACTCAGATCATCAGGTTTCATGACAAACTCCTCTACCCACTAAGCCATCTTGGTATCAAAAGTATTTATTTAGCAGTGCTGGACAATAATCATCAGCTAAGCTACAGCCTCAGCCCTTTGTCTTAAATCCTCTGCTAGGGGTATACCTTTAGTATTATAATAAGCCATTGGCTGCTTTCATACACTCATGAATGCCCCTGTACATTTTAGTCAGGGTTAGGGTTGAAAAGGTTCCAGTTTTGGTCTTTGTGAGTTTGTTTATGTGTTACTTCTAAATCCTTACCATGAGGCTTTCCAGAGCTCTCTGACCTCCTGGCTTCCCAGTAGTGCCTATATGGACCTCAGGTTGATTGACTAGAACTCTATTTTGATACCCTGTCACCCTTTGGCCTTGACACACTATTGGTCACAATGTGGCCAACATGTATGTGGAGTGGTATTACATGAAGTTACCCTGATCCACTGTTTGAATATTTGAACTGGAAAATCCAGTTTGTTTAACTACACTCCCCTGCACATGCTGGGAGGAGGTGAACTAAATTGTCATTTTTGGGTCATCTGTTTTGTGGATAACCCTATGGTAGTGGTCTCCTCTTACCGAAGGTAGAGTTCACCCAGGCTAACCTGTAGAAATTGGAATCATCCAAGTAGCTCCCTAGCTCCCTAGGCAGTGTGTGTGTGTGTGTGTGTGTGTGTGTGTGTGTGTGTGTATTGTGATAATTCTTACTTTCCTCTGAACCATAAAGTCTATTCCACAGGAAGTGACTGCCCATTGATAACTTGGACAAAGTTATCCAGCTTGCTCTATGGTGATCCCCTGTGGATTTGCATTGAAGTATAATGGTCTTTCCAAATACACTGAAAAGAGTGAATATAAGTTGGCTCTCTTCTCCCAGATATATATATATAATAAAAGAATATATATATATATAAAAGAATTTCTCTCTCTCTCTCTCTCTCTCTCTCTCTGTGTGTGTGTGTGTGTGTGTGTGTGTGTGTGTGTGTGTAAAGCATGGGACATGTGTACCAAATAAGCATTTAATGATTGTAGCCCCTAATTGAAATTTATATTGGAAGGCCAAAGACTATGTATCTAAGCAGTCTACTATTGTACTGACACAAAAATGAAATTTTTATGTTTCTCTCATGTTCTTGTTGTACATCATGGATTGTTTCATTTTACACGTGTGCATAAAGTCTAAGCGGGCAAATAGGAAAAAATGTAGGTGATTCAGGCTTAGGACCCATTGATATAATATATTTTCCTACATGCCCACATTTCCTTCATGCCCACACTCAATAGAAAAAACAGATTGATATGAAAGGTGAATGAACTATAATACCAATGGAGAGAATTAAAGTCTATTTTGATGCCTATAAAATGATGGGTTTCTTTCCTCTTGTGTCTTATTTCAAATGACAGAATGCACGTACTCAAGCTATCATTGGTCTTATATTAATTGGTGGGGCTTTGCTATGAGAAGAACCATAATCATTTCTATTAAACTATCTAATAAACTGTTTCATCAGCAGTCAAACAATTGGTTCTATCAACTGCACTCCTCAGTTTTACTGAAGGTCTTCTTACTTTGTATGCTCTGTTTATGCTTCGTACCAGCCATTCTCCCACACTGGATGTTCTTCTCCAATACAGTACCAGGCTTATCATAGTTAATCTTCTCACTTTGTTTTCTACCTCTTGAGTCCTTCTAAGCACATGTATACCTGACTCCTGTATCCGTGTTAGTCGTAACCAGTTCCACCTTCTCTTCATAAAACCCACTCACTGTTATTTTAAAGATCTCTGTCACACTTCGTCCCCCTCTTTATCTGGTTCTTTTTCATACCTGGTCCAAGCTTCATTGTTTCACTCTAATTGCATTTGTCCTGTTCCCTGGTTTTCTTTCTTTGTCTCCCCACCACCACCATTTTACTTTATGTCATAAGACTGATATAAATCTGTTAAAATCACCTTCTCTCTGACAGTGGTACAATCCGAATCTCATATGTGGTGTGGTGTCACAGCCCCTTTCTCAAATACCTTCAATGCAGCCACAGTTTCCAACATTCAGCCTCCGTCCCAGCTCCAGTCCCAGGTCCATAACGTGTTCATCTCTGTGCCTGAGAGGGAGGGCACATTTTTGTCACAGCTCATGAGAGAAGGCTGCTCTCCCTCATACCACTCTTGTGCTAAACAAGGAAACCATTAGTTTATCTCTGTCACCTTCATTCCTGCTATGCATCTGGTACAGCATTTCTGCATTCTGGTATGTAAGCCTGTGCTCCTCTGAGAGAATGGTCCTTAGGACGGGTTGGATATCCTTAGATACTATTTAAATCCCAAGGCCCATTTCAGAATGTGGCAAGTGTCAAATGCAGACAGGCTTTCTAAATGTTCTCTACATTAAAGAGGAAGTTTCCAGAGAAGGTTGGAAGCATGGATCTTGGGTTTCTGTATACTCTTTTTTGTCTTGTTATCCCAGTTAAAAGATTAGTCTTTTGTGAATTTTTTCTTGCTTTCTTTCTCCCTTTTTTTTATTTTTTGAGATGGTCTTACTATGCAGGCTTACCTGGCCTAGAATTTGATACATAAATTACACTGACCTCAAACTCATATTCCTGCCTCAGCCTCCTGAGAGTAATCTTTGAAAGTTTGTTGTTTTTGTTTTGTTTTGTTTTGTTTTGTTTTGTTTTTACAAGTCAGTCCTTCATGGGTAGGTATCCTGGGTACTGTTTATTATCTACTTAACATAACCTGGAGTTACCTGGGGTGAGTGAACCTCAATTGAAGAGTTGTCTCTACCAGATTGGCCTCTGGGAATGTCTGTGAGAGATTGTTATAATTGAAGATTGATGTGGGGTGGCCAGGCCCAACTGTGAGTTATACCATCTCTACACCAACAGTTCTAATCTATCTAAAATACCTAGCTGAGTATGAGCCAGAGCATAAGCCAGTAAACTGTGTTCCTCCTTCATGGTTTCTGGTTCGGTTCCTTCTTGAATTTCCTGCCCTAACCTCCTCAATGAAGGACTATATCCTGGAAGTATAAGTGAAAGAAATCCTTTCCATCCCCATGTTGATTATGTTCACAGTGTTTATCACAGCAACAGAAAGCAACCCAGATTGGAATTAACTTCAAAATTTGCATATCAGTCACCTGAACTAGTTGCCTAGGAATGTGCTTTGGCTCCAAGGAAGTGGAGAGATAGGAGTTAAGCTTAGGGTAATTTAATATCAGTTGTTAGATCAAATGCATTAAAGACTTTTGCACTGGTGTTAAAGGCATGATTTAACATTATAGAATGAAATAATACCTTTCTTTGCCCACCATCTCTGTCTTGCATTGGTAAGTTAGACTTAAAAGGCCCTCCATGGCACTGGCATTTCAGAAGTGCCAGCAGTGAGGTCAGTGTTGCTTATCCACAGATCTCTAAGTTCACTATGCTCTCAGCATGCTCACTACCCATCTGCTTCTCTGTTTGTCTTGCAGGTGAGACAATGCGGATCGCCTCCTCTGAGTTTGCTGATGACCCTTGCTCTTCGGTCAAGCGTGGCACCATGGTGCGGGCAGCGCGGGCTCTGCTATCAGCTGTGACACGCTTGCTAATCCTGGCTGATATGGCAGATGTCATGAGACTTTTATCTCATCTGAAAATTGTACGTATGTAGACCTCATGAAGACCTCTGGGTGGGGGTGGGGTGGGGTGGAAACAGCTGTGAAGGATTAGACATGCTCCACTGCTCATAGCCTGATTAAACTGATTTCTGGTGTAGTACCAGATTTTTCTAATAGCTCCTTTATAGTCCATAGAATATTCAAAAAACTAAGCTTCATCTGAGTCATCTCCCTACCTCCAAGCATAGAGCTTGGGTTCATTGCTTTTTGGAGTACACGGTATAGTGTTCTTAGAAGGAAAGAGCCTGGATTATGCTAATTTATTTGTGCAATATTAATATATATATTTGAACCTATTGTAGTCTTGCAATAAAACAGTGCCCAGTTCATATCTCTTCCCAGAGATTCCAAAGTCCCTGACTACTGCCACAAACCCTGGATTTTTCTCCCAGGCTTTAGATGATAAGGAACAAAGGCTTTCTCCAGGAACCATATGATGGCTGGCTGGGTCTCATTCTTGGAAAATGCTAATTCACCCTGGCCCTACCAGCTTCTGCTAGGGTTTTTATTCTCTGCCAGTGAAGAGAACAACTTGTGATGGGCAAAGTGATACAGGAGGTGAGTAATGGGAGCTCACCTCACATCACTTATACCAGCCCAGTTCAATTAGAGTGATCAGGACATTAGAACATTTAAATCTTAGGTGTTACCTGTCAAGAAATCTTGTATAGAATTTAGTAGCCTGGATCAGAGCATAAGGCCAATGACTCTTAGTTTATGCACAAACTCCTCATTTTTTTAAAAAAAAAAATCAGGAATTCTGGTTTTCTCTTTGAATTCCGTGACTTTAACCCTAAACCAAGGTGAAACACTTCATGTTTTTCAGTCAGGTCTCTGAGAAGCCAAGGAACACAAAACAGAATGTACGTAGTGGGGGCTTGCTGTTAAATTTTTCTCAAAGAACAGGACCACAAATTCTACAGAAGGCTGTTATAAACTTCATGAGGTGGACAATTCAAGAAAGATCTAGCTTTTTAAAAAACAAAATAAAAATTAAAAATTGGGCAACAATACTGTTTGGCCACTGGATTCACACTGACATGGTTTAATCCAAGTGTGTGCATTCAGCTTGCTAACTGTTTGACACCCAATATAAATGCTGCCTTCCAGTGGATGGCGATGTCCCTGGAACTTTTGTAGGATGCAGCTCTGGCCAGCACTCCTTGTCTGTTGTATGGACCTTTTGTAATATTAATACATTTTACTCAACCTGTGGGGGGTTGCTTACCCCCTTGACCTCTTGGCCACTAGGTCAAAGGAGGAAAAGGGAGATGGGGTGACAGAAAGCTTTGTATGTGGCCTGTGAGCACAAACAGAGACAGCCCTCCGAGAGACAGCCTTCAATGAATCAGCTGAATTTCATTCCAGAGTACAATGAATAAATAGGATTGGGGAGCCTGGGGACAAACCCTAATTTGCATTAAGTGGCATGCTCCTATCACAAGGCTTTGTATGAGGCAGTAGGGTCATAGCACAAGTCTTATCAGCAGGGTCAAGCTAAAGATGAATCAGGCATCTGGTTTTAGAGACAGCTTTTAGATAAGGTCAGACCTCCAGGCCCAGGGACATTCTCCAGGTAAGGGCAGGGAGAGAGAGGGAAGCTTTGCTGGAGAGGGAGGGAGCTCCATTTGCCAAGCTTACTGAGATAAGCTGCTAGGCCATGGGGTGGCTGTGACCTCTGACCAGCAATGTCTTCCAGCATCATCTGTGATAGAGAAAAGGTTTTAGGATCCTTACCGTAATTACACACTGCTCAGACTTCAAAAGCAATGTTGTAAGAAAAATAATTTTCTGCCCAATCTTTCTCAACAGTTCTTCAATGAGACCAAAACTATATAAATTAATGATGTATCCCAGTGTTCATTGTAGGCAATGCTGTTCCCCAGCTCGTGGGGCATGATGATAGGTAGCCCACATGAGGAACATGCTTTTTTTTATTTTATTCTTTTATTAGTTTACATTAGGAACAAACTTGCTTCACATGTCAATCCCTTCTCCCTCTCCCTCCCCCCCACAACATCCCACCTGTCCCTAGCCATCCCCCCTCCACTTCCCAGGCAGGGTAAAGCTCTCCAAAGGGGCTCCCCAAAGTCTACCACATCATCCTGGGCCAGGCCTAGGCCCTTCCCCATGTGGAGGAATATGCTTTTTATATTTTTAAAATTTGATTATTTTTGAGAACTTTATACATGAGTACTGTGTTTACATCATTTGTACCTCTCCCTCTATATCCTCCAACTTTTGACCCCCACTTTTCAAATTACGGCCTTTTCTTTAATTATTTTTGTTACATGGGGGGTGGGTAGAAAGATAGACAGACAGATAACCTACTATGTTAATTGAGTGTTCTTATATGCACATGCATGTAGGACTGACAGTTTTGATTGGATAATCCATCAGGGTTCTTGTCCTTGGAGAAGACAGTTCTCCTGCAATGGCCAAAATCACTGGAATCTCTTTATCGAAGGGCAGGATCTTTTGAAATATGCAGATCTCATTGAAGCAACCATAATTTTGAGATTTCAAGGGTACCTCTTCACAGTTAGACACTAAGCACACATCCCTACCTGGTCCTCTGGCTCTTAAAATTTCTCCTTTCTGGAAATAACCTGCGAGTATCCTGTCTCTTGGTCTTCTGGCTTTCCCTTTCTGTTCTCTGAAACTTATGTGTGGAGGCTGCAGGTGGAACAATTGGTGCTGGGCAACTCACAGTTATGGATCTTTGCAATGCTCTCTATCTTTTGAAAATCTTTAAGATAAGAGTTAAACTTATCTGTGGCTATAAAGTTAGCTATCTAGAATGCAGTTAGAAATTATACTAGTTTAAGAAAATATCAATAGACTTGGAGTCAATGACTGTTCCCGACCTCCCTCTCTCTCTCCCTCTCTCTCTCTTTCTCTCTCTCTCTCTCTCTCTCTCTCTCTCTCTCTCTCTCTCCTACCCCTTCTGTTTGTTTTTGTCTTTGTCTCCGTCCTGTGTCTGTCTCCGTCCGTCTGTCCGTCCGTCCATCCGTCCGTCCATCCGTCCATCCCTCCCTCCCTCTCCCTCCCTCCCTCTCCCTCTCTCCTTCCCTCCCTCCCTCCCTCCTTCCTGTTCTTTTGACCAATGCTATTGACTGATACCTCTCCAGCCAACACTTTTAAAGTCACTTGTATTCTGTTAAAGAAAAGGATTTAGCACAAAATCATGCAAAGGTCAACGTCAACCCAGAAACGTTAAGCAGGCCTGTCAGACTATCAGTAGTAAAATTAAAAATGATTGTAGACTAGAAAATGCATTTATTATTAGACCACAGCAACAGAGGCTGTGGAATGTTGCCATCTTGTGGATGTACAGAGAACTGCAATTTCTGGTGCTAGCACAAGGGTTTCTGATCAGTTCTGGTGTCATTGCATGGACCTACCATCTCAAGCCAACCCCCCTGCAAAAACAGGCACATATGGACAAAAATAATTATAAGTAAACACGATATGTGTGTGTCTCCTGAGTTATTTTGAGTAAATTTCATAGCCTCTGTAGATATTGCATTCACTTAAGATTAAAACATAAAAAGTGGCTGGCTAATGGTTGCTGAGGGAGAGAAAGCTGGACTTATTCAGATGCAGACCTTGGTAGATTGCCCATGTTCTAGTGCATGGCTCTAGACCTATGCACACAAAGGCAGCAGTAGTTAGACTAAGTGGCGTAAAACTAGAATCTGACTGCCATTTATGTGTGTTATGTGACTATATGTTAAAGAGAGGGGGTGATCGAGTTGGGGGAAGGAGGGAGTAAGGGAGGGAGGGAGGAAGGGAGAGAGGGAGGAAGGGAGGGAGGGAGGGAGCAAGAAAAAGGATGTCTTGATAAAGAGAGCCATTATGGGGTTTGGGAGAAACCCAATGTTAGAGAAATTCTCAGGAATCCACAAGGATCCCAGCTAAGAAGGTGTCCTGTAATCAGATTGGTGAATACCCCAACTGTCACCATAGAGCTTTCATCCAGTACCTGATGGAACACAGATAAAAGGCAGTCAGGTTCTGTATATATAACTATGATTTTTTTGACTTGATTTGACCAAGTACCTGACAAGCAGCCCCTTGAGGGACAAAGGGCTTACTTTGGCTCACAGTTTGAGGGGATACAATCTAACATGGAGAGTAAGGGTGGCTGCAGTTGACTCTGTGTTAACAAGTGTGTGCAGTTGTAGTTGGGTCTCTTATCCTCAATTCTCGAAACAGGAAATATAGGACTGTTAGGAAACTGGGACAAGCTATAAAACCTCATACCCACTCCCTAGTGACATTTCCTCTGTTGAGGTCCCACCTCCTAAAGGTCCTGCCACCTTCCAAAGTACCTCCTTAACTGGGAAGCAAACACACTAACACTGAAGCCTGTAAGAGGACAGTTCCCATTGGAGCCACAACAGGTGTTTTTTTTTTTTTTCCATCAGAGTCAAGAAGTGATTCCACCTTTCTGTTGGCTCAGAATTAAGGAATACATCCACCCCCACCTCCTGCCCCTGTAGTGTTACCTGCTAATGGCTGTTTTACCTCAAGCATCACACATTACTTTTACGCTATGTGTCAGAATCTGTTGATGTTTGTCCTTTCCGGATAACTTACGTGAACAGAGAGTGAATTGGCCTCTCATTAGAAACTCCTGTTTGTGTTTTTCCATAAATAGTTCTCTAAGTATCTGAAAGATCATTGTTTTATTTTCCTAAAATACCCAACCTCATCTTTTGCTTCATACCCAAATATCTAATTATTGGAAAATTGAATGATTTTGAGCAAATGCCAGGCAAGCCTCTAAAAATTAGTGAGGTTCTAGATGCTCCGAGAAATTGCACAGTGTGTTGTTTTTTGTTTTTTTCTTCTGTTGCCTCATAAAGCAGTGTATGTGGCTACTGAGGAGTCCTTCGGCTTTAAAGCAGGCCTCTTGGTTGTCCATAGTAAGGCCTCTATTGTCTCCCACATATGCCTACATGTGCTCTCTTAGAGC